TTTTGCCGAATGGTTCACAAAATATCAGCGTTTTTGTGGTGAAATTGGTCCCATAGGAATGAATGTTCCTATGAATGTTCAAAACTAGAGTGTGAGCTGAAAAATCAGGACATGATTTCTAAACTGCCATCACTCCCTCATTTTCAAGCCCACCTACACAAATCGTTATCAAAACTATAGCTATCCCTGCTGCCACTAAAAATGTCCACGGCAAAGCCATAGTCCTGATAGTTTTCACAATATGACCATTTGTTTGCAACTCATGCCGCCCATTGACATTCATTGAAACGCCACTCTAGCCACCTCAAATTTGAAGGGCAATTTCTAAACTGCGACTGTGCCTTCATTTTTAATATTTCAGAGACATACTATGCATCAAAATGTAGGTCTGAGTCTTGTGATTCTCACAATATAACTCTTCGGTGTAGGATTTGTAATTTTTAAACTACAACTGTTTGAAGATGGCAACCACCAGTGAAGTGAGCAAGTTGGAGCAGATTGTTTTTAACCGCTCTTCTCTGCCCTTGCTGTAGAGTGAGTTGCCATAGGAACCCAGGGGTGTGAGCAGGCAGCAGAGTGACAAAAGCTAGAGTGTGAGCTGAAAAATCAGGACATGATTTCTAAATTTGATCAATCAATTGGTTAGTGTAATGTTTACTATCTTTACTCACTCCAAACACTCCACACAGTTACTCTGCCCACTCCATAAAGTTACTCTGCCCAGTCCAACCTTTTCACAGTTACTCCAGCCCAGGGGCGGACTGACCATTTGGAAACTCGGGCACTGCCCGAGGGCCCGGGGTCAGTAGGGGGCCCCATGAGATTCCCCTGATACCTTTTCATAGGCTTTTTTAAGTTTGGGCAAGGACACAGGGTGTCAGGGATCCTTGGCCGCTCGGCAGTGCGCGCATGCGCAGATCGCCGATTCGTCCGAGCCGGCGAGCATGGAGTTCTCGGCAATCGCGGCGGCGGCCGCGCATGTGCACTAGCGATCGCGGCCGCACCAATGAGAGAACAGGGCCCCCTATTTAAACCTGCCCTGTGCATCTCCAAATTTCCACAAGGTCTTGTTCCTGTTCCTGTGTTCCTGTTAGTACGTTTCCTTGTTGCCAAACTCTGCCTGTTCTGATTTATGCTGACCCTCTCCTGCTCTGACCCCGGCTCGTCCCTGACCATTCTTCTGCCTGTAGTTACTGTTTATTTTGGACCCTCTGTTACTGAACCCGGCGTGTGACCTGACTACTCTTTGCCTGCTGCTTGGTACCGCACCTGTCTCCACTGTTACTGACCCGGCTAGTCTGACCTCGCTCACTCCTAGCAGTCATCCATCCATCCCGCTCGGATTGGGACCTGTCAGCCCCTTCACAGCAGGCTCATCCCGGGCACATACCCTCAGCGGGACCCCTCTACCACCGCCAGGGGGTGACCAGGGGCGCGACCTGGTTCCAGTCTTGCACCAAGTCCATCCCCACCATCAGGGGCCCTGGTGAAAAGGCAGACTGGGACTTAGACTCCGCATCCTGGGAAATCCCGTGCTGTGGACCACTTGAGATCCCGTTGGGTGGAGCCTGATACAGGGGCCCCATGATCCCCTATTGCCCGGGGGCCCCATGATTTGTCAGTCCGCCCCTGCTCCAGCCACTCCAACCACACAACAGTTACTCAAGCCACTCCACCCAGTTACTCCGCCCACTCCAGTTGTAGACTACTGGTGGAGGCAAGAACACTTCACACAATTTCCCCAGAAATTGTAGATTTTTTAGTAGAAATTGCACTGCAAATTACAAGAAATCGTTGAAAAATCTTCACAAGCAGCAATAAAGTCTTCAGAAATCGCACCTGAAATCATGCAGAAATTGCACACAAATCGCGCCATTTTAAATCACAGCGGTGTGACCAGTGACTAAACGCATATGTGACCGTATAGTAAGATTGTTTTTGAAATAGTGACAGGGTCTCTTTAACACATTTTCCATAACCTATAAGTACTAGCTCCTTACATACATAGTGAGTAATCTGTAGCAGTCTGCATCATCCACACATGTATCTGCTGACGCAAGTTACCTGAATTCTATTTACCCCCTGAGTTTCCCATTCCTGCTGGTAATTCCCTAGAGTGCACAGACCTGCTCGTTATCGGAGTACTGTGCTAATCATCGTTCTCCAGCCTATCTGATGCTCCACTTTATCAAACATCTCGCTGTATACAATGATCTGTGACACAGTCACTACGCTGATCATGCCAGATGATAACTTCAAGATACACAGCAAGCCGATGCTATAATAAGATGAAGACAGACCCAGTCCATTTATTTTGGCTAAATAAATAATGTGACATTTAAGGAAATATTTAATTCTGGGTTCTCTGATCAAAAAAAAAAAGCAGCATGTTTGTAATTAGGAGAAAAACATTTTATGATTGTGCTAAACCACTTTTATAAATGAAATAAAAGTAAAAAATGTAGTAAAATTAAGTAAATCAGTAATAGAATTAACCTCCCTAGCGGTATTCCCGAGTGTAGCTCGGGGTAAAATGTCAGTACCAAAAGCGGTAACCCTGAGCTACACTCGGAGTTACCATGCGGCGCTGCTCAGGGATTCCCTGCAGAGCTTACCTTGTCCTTCGCTCCCACGATGTTTCCCCTCTCCTCCGGCTGATGCCGGCATCCGGCTTCTGTGTTCTGGTCCCTGTGACGTCGGGACGTACGGGCGCCTGCGGCGGCGGGAAATGTGAAAATTTAAAAAAATGTCATTTTTTTCAAAACAAAATTTTCATAGTAAAACATTGCTGTTTCAACCCATTTCACATACATATTGTCCCTAGTACTTTGTCCTGTGCCCTGCCTGCATTTTGTCTGTTCTTTTCTGGAAACTGAGAAATGTCCATGACGTCCAAAAAGTGTCCCTTTAGGTCAAAAGCGGTTTTAGACCAGCTAGAGAACAGCGATAGTAAATCAGAACCACTTGCAGAATTGAGTGATAATGATTCGTGGGGAAATTCGTCATCAGACACTGAAAATGATTCTGCGACTTTGCTCAGCGATGTGTGAACTTGGCGCTATATTTCAAATTTCAGTGTTTTTGGTTTGATTATATTATTGAATTAAATTTATTATTATTATATTATTATTTTTTATGATTATTTATTATATTATAATTTATGATTTCGTGTTTCAAATTTTATCATACCCGGGATGTTTAATAGACTCTTGTTCGGACAGATTTCAGTGAGTTATTCCTAAAAATTACAGGCCTACAATAAAAAAACTACATATTTCCATGCAAAATAATGGTACCACTTTCAGCACCAAAAATCTGAAATAATCATATTGCCAGGAAGGTTAAAGAATATGTAAACCCAACATTTCAGATTCCTGATCTGTGCCTGCTGTACCATGTACTTGTGTGAGAAAGTACCCTCTTCATTTTGTCTCTTCCTTTGAGTGAAATCCCTGGTGTTCCTACCAGTCCCTCTGCTTTCCTATAAAAAAAAACTGTCCTCGCTAGGCAGGAAAGCACAGCATGGTCAGTTCTCTAGCTATGCTGGGAACCCAGCCTGCTCTCCTCCAATGATCAGACTTATCTTGACACAACCCATCTGCACAGCCATTCACTGGGAAGATCAGTGTGATGCTGTTTCTCCTCCCCCAGGCCATGCAGCTGAGAAAAGAATGAATGTGATCACTTATAAAAAAGGGGGAAAAGAAGTATTGATAATGTTTGTTATGTCTATACACAAATGTTTTGCCTTTCATTTGTATTTTAAAGTGAATAGGTTGTTTTACGAGGTGAGGGTTTACAACCACTTTAAGCACTCGTGGGCCAGTTTCCTGGACAATGCGGTAAAGCTGCTCATAGCCATGAGATGACCGAAGTCCAATGTTCAGGACTTGTCGGCTGCTGGTCAGATGCTTGGCAACCATATTTAAAGTATTACTAATCCCACAGCAGTAAAATCAGTCTGTATATTAGATTGTATATCTTAGATTGTAAGCTCCAGGGAGCAGGGCCCTCCTATCCCTCTTGTATTGAACTGTATTGTTGCTGTATTGTCTCCCTTTATATTGTAAAATGCTGAGCAAACTGTTGGCGCTATATAAATCCTGTATAATAATAATAATATTTGCAGTAAAGCATGTTTGTTATACTCACTGTGGAACCTAAGGGGTTAATCCTCTGTATTGTGTAAAAAGAATGTTTAATCCTGTCTTCTTTGATCCTCCCCTTCTTCCACATCCCTCATATCATCTTCTGATAGAACACACTCTTAAGGACACTCTGCACATGCTCAGTTTGGTGTATATCGCTAGAGAGTTTTTTCTTTTTTGTGAGAGAGTGCTCGTGATTAGCACAGGGCCAATCAGCACTGTTCAGACAGAGGTCAGGGGTTCTGCATCCTACTACAAGAGAATGAAAACTCCTACAAGCTGTAACCAGTGCTCAGCTGCACACTGATAGAAGTCACAAGACTGATATATATATAATCTGATGAGTGTATTTAGCAGTTTATATTTACTAAAATAATTGCATTTCCATGTTGTGTGTACTGTGGGAGACCAAGTATAGTGAATGCAGGGTCCTGGGTTTAGTAACACTAAGTTTTGGAGGCTTTCACCATTTCAATTGTTTCCCAGTTTCAGGCAACCAAATATTACAAATCGCAGGGAAATTCAGTTGCAAGTTCATGTAGAAAGTCATTTTCAGTCAATCCTTACACTGGTTTTCAGCATTTAGTCACTTGAAGTGTTACTAAACCCAGGACCCTGCATTCACTATATCTGGTCTCCCACAGTACACACAACATGGAAGTGCAAATACTTTAGTAAATATAAACTGCTAAATACCTTTTCTCATCAGCAGTTAGAGCAGTCTTGTAACTTCTATCAGTGTCCAGCCGAGCACTGGTTACAGCTTGCAGGAGGAGTTTACATTTTGCTCTAGGGTGATGCAGAAGCCCTGACGTCTGTCTGGACAGTGCTGATTGGCCCTGTGCTAATCACATGCTCTCTTCCAAGAAAAAAAAAACCTCTCTAGCAATGCACACCAAACTGAGCATGTGCAGAGCGACTCCACACAATGTGTCTTATCAGGAGACAGTGGAAGAAGGGGAGGATCAGAGAAGACAGGATCAAACAGCGTTTTTACACAATGCAGAGGAATAACTTCTTAGGTTCCACAGTGAGTATAACAAGCATGCTTTATGCAGACTGATTTTACTGTTCTGGGTTTAGTAACACTATAAAGCCTAATTCCAGCCAGAAATTGCATTTTTAGTTATGGATAGAAGAGGGAAGAATTAATGTTACTGTCATTTTTTAAAACAAAATCAAAGTAGAAGTACTTAAAGCCATGTACCAAGTGGAAACGTCAATAGAAAAAAGGTAGAAAATCTATCTTGATCACAGATGTTACATTTGTTATGTGGTATATAGCCATCTATATATAGTAGATTGATGAGATTGATTCATTCAGTGCTTCTTTTTTAATCCTTTTCCCAATTCCAACCAGTCATAGCACCACACCTTGACTTCTTAGTTGAGAATGGAATGAAAGCCAGAGTTATTTTCTGCTTCAATGCATTCTGATTGGTGTTGGCTGAGGGGACAGCATGGGGTCTTTGCCTTTATTGCCACTTCTTTGGACCACCTACGTAAATAATCATGTCATGCATTGTAACACAACACTATACCTTTATTGTTGTGCAGAATTATTCTTTCCAATGAAACCTGGGAATCAAAAATGAATGTTATTATGGGGCCCGGGATGGAGGGTCTGATAGAGAGGTTGTTAAAGCCGTATTAAACCCAAAAGCAAACATTTAATATATTGCAACTTACCAGTTCTTATATGTGGAGCTGCATTCGTTTTTTTTTTTTTAGGCTTTCTTTCTTCTATTTTCATAAGGTGATCTGGCCAGTAAGTCTACTAAAAGTTCTCTTCCAAATATATCAGTTTACAGGGATGAGACAAACCATTTACCACTAGCAGGGGTGCTTACAATGATCAGCTTGTATTTGTTCAGGTAAAACCTTTATCTTAAAAGAAAAAGAAAAACAGTTTGTTGTAACTGCATATAAAGTGTGTGGCTTCAATTTGTTAGTGTATTTAAATTTGCTAGTACATCTAACACTCCCCTCTACCCAGACTGACAATGCTTTTGTCCAAAGGTGCCGCTGTTGCTCCTCCATCTGGAGTGTAGGCACCCTAACAGAAGTTGTGTGTCAAAAAGCCTAAAAAAAGAAAACTAATACAGCCATCGCATCTAATGATTGGTAAGCTGCAATATATTACATGTTTGGTTTGTGGTTTAAAGCGGAGCTCCACCCAAAAGGGGAAGTTCCACTTTAAGGCCTGCTCCCCCACTCCCCATTAAGGATTGGCACCTTCTAGGGGGCAGGGGGGAGCGGGTATCCGAATTAGACAGGCCTAGGCGATCGGAAGCAGAAGGTGTCCTCCCTCCCTGTAGTCTTTTGGGACACGTGACAGGTCCCAGAAGACTACAGGACCATTCATGAAGTGCAGCGCTACTCACGCATGTGCAGTGGGTACCCGGCTGTGAAGCCGCAAGCTGTCACAGCCGGGTGCCCACACTGAAGATGCCGGTCTCCTGGCATACAGGAGGGCCGGTGAAACAGGCTGTGGGGAGGACACCGCGGGACCAAGGGACAGGTAAGTGGCTGTTTTTTAAAAGTCAGCAGCTACAGCTTTTTGTAGCTGCTGATTTTTATTTTTGGACAGCGTGAGTGGAACTCCGCCTTAAATACCATTTTAAGGAAAAGTAAATTGTTACATTTTCAATATAGAAAGGCTATTATCCACTCTTAGGATCCTTGCTAGCCACAGATTCTTCTCTTTTTTGATAAACTGTCTTCAAAGTGTAGATTTATTGTCCTTTGAACCTCTGCTACAGACTGAAAATAAGTTTTCTCCACTGCTAACTCCTCATGCACATGGGATGTTTTGATAACGCTGGTAACATTAGCTGTGTAAAGTCACGTTTAAAAATGTGAGCTTTTCAGCTTTTTTTAGCGTTTTTGCATTAGCGTTTTGCCACAACTAGCAATATTTTTCCGCGTTTGCATTTTTAGCGTTTTTTTTTTCTCCCAAGATAATTTGTTTGACACCGGTTTTCCGCGCTTTGCCGTGTTTTTCAGCGTTAGAGTGTTTTTACAGCTAAAAAACTCCTCTAGAAACCCACTAGTTCTGGGGGTTTTTTTTCCAGCCAAAAAATGTCCCAGCCAAAAAACGTTGATTACAGTCTATGTGTGCATGGACAGATAGGATAACATGCTGAGGGGTTTACTAGCTGTAGAAAAAAAGTCAAAAGCCCTCCCTGGACCCCACTGACCTCAACAACCTCAGACCAATTTCCCTGCTGCCACTCACCTCCAAGCTCCTTGAGCGCTTGGTCTACGATCGCCTAAGCGCCCACCTAACTGACAGCAACCTCCTTGATCCGCTTCAGTCCGGCTTCCCACCAACGATCTACTAACCGCCAAAGCCAAAGGTGACTACTCTGTCCTCCTTCTCCTAGACCTCTCCGCGGCCTTTGACACAGTCGACCACCCCCTCCTTCTTAATAAACTACTCTCCCTTGGCATCAGAGACACCGCTCTCTCTTGGTTCTCGTCCTATCTATCCCAATGCTCCTTCAGCGTTTCCTACAACGGTGCCACCTCCCCTTCCCTCCCCCTCTCTGTTGGGGTCCCCCAGGGCTCTGTCCTTGGACCCCTTCTCTTCTCCATCTACACCTCCTCCCTTGGCAAACTCATACACTCCCACGGCTTCAATTACCACCTCTACGCTGATGATACTCAAATCTACCTATCCACCCCTCACCTCACCCCCACATTCTCCGCCCGCATCACTCACCTCCTAAACGACATCTCTGACTGGATGTCACTCCATTTCCTGAAGCTCAACCTCTCCAAAACCGAGCTTCTTGTCTTCCCCTCTGCCCGCGCCCCCCCCCCCCCCCCATCCTTTCCATCACTACCAACAACACCACCATCAATCCCGCCCAGCAAGCCAAGGTCCTTGGCGTCATTCTGGACTCAAACCTTTCCTTTCAACCTCATGTCAAATCACTTACAAACACATGCAGGCTCCACCTCCGGAACATCGCCAAGATACGCTCCTTCCTTACCCCAGACACCACTAAACTACTCGTACACTCCCTGATTATCTCACGTCTGGACTACTGCAACTCCCTCCCTCCTCACCGGCCTACCCCACTGCAAACTCTCCCCGCTTCAGACCATCCTGAACTCAGCGGCCAGACTCATCCACCTCACCAGCCGCTCCACCTCTGCCACCCCCCTCTGCCTCTCCCTCCACTGGCTCCCCATTGCCCAACGCATCAAATTCAAACTGCTCACTCTGACCTATAAGGCCATTCACAACACTGCCCCTAACTACCTCACCGACCTGATTCCCAGGTACCATCCTACCCGTACCCTTCGCTCTTCACAGGACCTCCTTCTATCTTGCTCCCTGGTCTCCTCCTCCCACGCACGACTGCAAGACTTCTCCAGGTCCTCCCCCATCCTCTGGAACTCACTACCCCAATCCATCAGACTGTCACCTTCCCTCCTCACCTTCAGGCGCTCCCTGAAAACCCACCTCTTCAGGGAAGCCTACCCCACCCTCACCTAACAGCCGCTGCCTTACCCTCCTCCTACCACTCCATCCCCCACAGCCATTTCCTCCTGTACCACTCTACCCCCTCTCTCTCATAGATTGTAAGCTCGAAAGAGTAGGGCCCTCTTACCCCTTGTGTGCTGTTTGTTGTTACTGTACTGTTTCATGTATTGTCCCCCCCTCTATTGTACAGCGCTGAGCAAACCCTTTGCGCTATATAAACTCGATAAAATAAATAAATAATAAAAGCCAAAAACAGCCGCTGTAAAAAAGTCAAGTGTGCATGAGGACTAAAACCTTAAAGAAAAGCTGATGTTTGTAACACTAATACCATTGTTAAAAATCATGGACTTTATAGACACAGAAAGACAAATATGGAAAGGATTACAAACCTACTATATTGATGCATGATTAACCCCCTGGCGGTATTCCCGAGTGTAGGTCGAGGTAAACTTCCAGTACCAAAAGCGGTAACCCCGAGCTACACTTGGGAATACACTGCAGCGCTACTCAGGGATTCCCTCAATCACTTACCTTATCCTTCGCTCCCGTGATGTCCCCCCTGCAGTGTCCCCGGCCATCTCCTCCCGCCAATGCTGGCATCCATCTTCCGGGTTCCATTCCCTGCGAGTGTTGGAACGTACGGGGCCGGAACCAGCAGGAAATTCAAAAATTTTAAAAGTGACATTCACTCAATACACTAAAATCCATAGTAAAACATTACTGTATCAAACCATTTCACATACATTTTGTCCCGAGTGCTTTGTCCTGTGCCCTTCCTGCATTTTTACTGTTCTTTCTGCCTGGAAACTGAGAAACGTCCATGGCATCCAAAAAGCGCCCCTTTAGGTCAAAAAAGATTTTAGACCGGCTAGAGAACAGTGATAGTAAATCAGAACCACTTGCAGAATTGAGTGATAATGATTCGTGGGGGAAATTCGTCATCAGACACTGAAAACGATTTTACGACTAAGCTCAGTGATGTGCTTTATATTGAATTAAATTTATTATTATTATATTATTATTTTTTATGATTATTTATTATATTATAATTTATGGTTTCGTGTTTCAAATTTTATCATACCCGGGATTTTTACTAGACTCTTGCTCGGACAGATTTCAGTGAGTTATTCCTAAGAATTACAGACCTACAATAAAAAAAAAAAACATATTTCCATGCAAAAAAATGTACCGCTATGAGCACAGAATTATTGACATAATCAGACCGCTAGGGAGGTTAAAACACTGAAGGGCTCTTTCTCATGAACATTCCGAAAAACGGGCAGGCGGACCCAATCGGAACCTCCATTCTCCTCTATGGAGCGGCAGGTATAAACGGACATCTGTCGGTTTACACCTGCCGACGTCCAATCCGCCAAAAAGGGATGGATGGGGATCCAATTCCTCTTCTGTCTGTCGGATTGGGTCAGATGAAAACGGACAGGCGGTCCGTTTTCATCTGACCACCCCATAAGGAGAGCGAGCAGCTTTGTGTCTGATCTGCAGTAACAGACTGGACTCAAAGCTGTCATCCACTTGCTCAGCAAGGATCAGTGGAGA